CGGCCAATTAAAACCAGTAGGTGCTTATTTCTTCGTTTAAGCAAAAAGAACAAGGTAGCATATTTGTTGGGAAATTCTGCATCTTCTTAGGACAACTTTTTTGGCTATCCATACCCAGAAGCATTAGTGCAGTTGAGGTTGAGGGCTAAGTGGATTTAACTCACATGAACAAAAGAACTACATTACTCTTTTCTGTCCCTTGTCATCATAAAGCATCAGCTATTTCAAACTAGATATAGGACTTGAGCTATAAGCCAGTAGTGTGTGGTTTAGAAATTAATGAGATTGTGTGATTTAAAAAAAGGTTGACACCTGGTTATCTTATTATGATCTTTTAGGTTTTACAAACCAATTCTAATTGCAATGTCCCTAGTGTTCAACAGGAGGCAACTTCCAGTGAATGAATTACAAATCATAATACTGTGCTGTAACTAATGCAGTGGGAACATCACTTACTTAACAGAGATGCTCTGGAGATTTCACTTTATATAAGAAACCTGCCTGCTAGGAAATTGTTGTTAGTTTAAGAATCAGGCTTACATGGCTTGACCACTGTGAGAATGGTTTCATAAGCTTTGCTAGCTGGAAGAAGAAGAAGAAATTATCTCAATTGGATGTTTCATTAAGTCCTCTGAAAGGATTTTAAGTATCCAAACTTGGAAACTAGCCCTTAAATACAGACGGTAGGTTTGTGCTTTTCCTGCTGTGAATGTACTCAATTCTGCTGACAAGTGAGTCTTTAATGGTGTTTGCTGAAGTGTCTTATGTGGTCATGACCTGGGCCTAGTGGAAATTCTTGAAGTACTGGAGAAACTTACATTGAATGCCATTGACAAGTCAATTAGGGGGAACACAGTGTTTTTAAGGTATTTCCCTGTGGTACAATTGTGCAAAACCACTCCTCTCAAAGATACTTGAGATACTGCTTTCCTGATCCTCCTGGTGTGCGGGGTACTTTAGCTGTAGTGTCTAAGCTGGTCTTGGCTACTTACCACACTATTCCTTGTGTTTGTACGTGCTGCAAAGAAACATTGGCGTCTTCCATGTGAGGGACAGCTATGATCTGAACTCTTGACAGAAACATCTTAAACCTTAGGGCTAAAACTTTCTGTTGTTTGTAGTGTGGCTGAGTGCTGACTGAGAGTGGGAGAAGAAATTATCGTGTCACTCAGGTAAATGGAGGAAGGGCTAAGCCACTTCACCATTGCTGCTTTCGTTTAAATACCTCTACTATTAAAAGTAAGGGAAGTGTGAGATGTTGCAGTGCAGGTTTGCATGGGGAGGCTGCGATGCACCCATCGGTCCTCAGGCAAAGCAGCTCCCTGAGCCACTGGTTGCCCAGTGTTCCATGCACTGCACCTCCTCTCCACCTTCCTAGCTGGAAGCAGGGCATGTCTGACAGCTACTGCACTGCTGAAGTCAGCGTTTGCAGTGATGATCTCCAGGTTGGGTCGGCAGGGGAGGCCAGTGGTGGGAAGGAAGCTTCAGGAGCAAAGGAGAGGGCTCCAGTTTGAAAATACGTTCCACTTAGAATTCTGAGACTGTTCCACTGACTGCTAACATAAAGAATTAGATTTACAATTCGAAGTAAGTTGCACGGTAAAATAATTGGACTAGTGAAGCAATCTCACTCTTGCTAAATTGCTTTCCGAGGAGCCTATCCTGAACGGGGCTGTACAGCTGCTTCTGATATTTGAGCATCCTCAGGTCTCATTGACTTCTGTGGGAATTAAACTCATTGAACTCCTTACTAGGCAATTAGTTCCTTATAGGTCTAATTTTACTGCTGCAAAGTGGTAGCTGCCTTTACTACCAGTCATAGCCTGTAATCTTCAAGTTCAAACCTTAGCATGCATGTATCATTTAATGTTTCTTTTGTGAGACGTGTACTTCAGCATTTGTGCATATGTTCTGTTCCTTACTGCTTTATGTGGATAAGATCCCTGATAGTTTTGTTAGTCTGAGTGCATCATGCTAGCAAATAGAACATGCAAAACATGGGATGGAAAACCTTTCCAAAAATAATTCTGTCAAAAGTCCGTAAGACAGTGTTATGTTGATTTTGCTTCTTTTAAGTAGGAAGTGTTTGTATTGCTGTCAAAAAGGGATGGATGCATTTCAAATTAAGAGGACAACTTCATTAATATGGAGGATGAATGAGATAAAAGATGAGATAATGGAAATGATTTTTTTCTGCCTTTTATTTCCATGAGAGAAGACCTATTGAGATGCAGTATATTTACAGTCTTCAAATTACCGCAGGTCTAAGTGTTTTTGCTTTCATGGTCTCTGTTTGTGCTACTGCACATTTGGGGATGATGGACTGTGGAGCACTGGATGTTGAAATGGAGAGAATCAATAGTGTGGTACAAAAGATGAAATAACTCTGATGGAACATCAGTAAAGGCTAAAAGTTGCCATAGGGATTTGAATCTTAAAGAAGAGCTTGAGAAAGCATATTAAGAAGAATTCACTTCTCCTCCTGCACTTGTAGCGTCTTTATTCCATGAATAGAAGTCACTCAGGGGTTCTTATCAAGTACAGAGGTGAAGGAATTTGTTCTTTTCTGTATCTATGTGGTGCCCAGCACAATGCCTCCTGGGTGCGATGTGTTCCAAGCATTGTCACCGCATCATTGCTGTCTCAGGCCCCGAGCTGGCGTGAATAATAATGAAAGACTAGAGTTCTTTGCAGCCTTGTGTACTGTTCCAGGGTGCAACACATGCAGACTTCTCTGTGGGAGAAGTAGGAGAATTTTTACGACGCACAAGTTTTTCACTGTTTAAGAGAAGATGTGTTGCAGGTCTGTAGACCAGTATGCATAACCAGGAGTGTTTCCAGCTAAGAGTCTTCCCATTTGGCTCCACTTCCAGAAAATGTGCAAGAACAATTATAAAACCCAATTTTTGCCTTGGTCTTAGCACTGCACAGTACTGTGTTCAGTGATTTGTTAGGATGCACTTTGGAACATTATATCTGGAGCAGAGAGAATTGGTTGCTGAGTAACATACTTCTCAGGATGAAGAAGGCCGTCTCCTGCAAAATACCAACCATCTCTGTCCAAGCGGAACTCCACTGTTTGTTTATTTTTTTTCTTGAGTATGGACTAAGTGAGATTAGTCTGAAGTAATTCTGAGCTATAAAACAAGAAAATTGAAGAATCCCTGAATCATTTACTGGGCAGATGGAAAATGAGGGGGGTGATGGTATAGGAATGTATTCGCTGACTTCTATTTCTAAATGATGTACGCACTGTCGATACACAGCCGAATTGTGATTTCATTGGTAGCTTTCATTAGGATCTTTACACAGGAAGCACACCTGGAGCTCCACATTAGATTTTATGGATTTTATGGAAAAAGGTGCTATTGAATGTGACTGAAGATATCACAGCATGCCTCTTAACATTTCTGCTGTAATTGTGAGTGTTCCTATCCTCACTGTTATCTTCTTGCTTCCCAAACGTTTATCAGAATTACTTTCTCAACTTGTTTCTGATTTTTTTGTTTGCATCAATATGCAAATCCCCCAAATTTTGATTGCACATTGCATTCTGAAAGGATATTCACTGCTTTCATGTGCATAATTCATACTGATGTCACACTCTGGATTTCAATTAGGATTCTGACTCCATCACTCTCATAGCTTAAAAAACAAACACTGAATAAAACACGTAGCTTTGTCACAAAGATAAATGAAAATCAAAGAGGCAAATTAAGTTAAAACCATAAACACTCTGAATTCAATCCACATTCTGAAACAATGGTAGTTTAGACATGTACAACTAAACAAATATGGGAAAGCTCAGCTGTTGTGTTGAAAACCTTAGCTGCTTCTATCTAAGCAAATTGTCTGAGACTTGCCTACTAAAATGTCCCCTGTTAAAATAAAGCTATTAAGGCAGGGTTGGCATCACCATTTTTCTTTTGCAGATCAGGCGGTAGTTTCTGGCACTAGCTTTTAGAGCTGAAATAAATTAATGCAGAAATCAAGGTTAGGTCATGCACCTATCTACTTAGTTCAAAGTCAAAGCATCAAAAAGGAAGAAAAAGAATGCACTGTTGTGAAATACATTAGTGTTATTAGTTTTATGTTAAAATTCAACACATTCTTAAAAATACTGCTTCTCTCAAAATACATATGTATGTTGAATTCCTTTTTCCAAGGAATAGAGTACTTAATCCAACACTGCATTTAAGCTTGTGACTGATTTCAAGCATGAGAACACAGAACTACTCACACACTTAAAATTAAGCATGAGATTAATTGAACAAGGTTAAGAGCTCTCTGCTGGGATGAGATCAAGTGTTCAGCTATAAGGACCTGACTCTGACAGTCTTACAGTCTTTTTTTTCTGCAGTGAGACACCAATGAGACTTCATCCCCTTTGACACAGGACTGGTGTGACCAAATGCTGCTTATGCTTTAAATCTAAGAGATGAAAACTTAATCTCCAGGATCAGGCCTTCTCCCTTAATATTGCGTCATGCCAACTTCTTTGGCATCTTAAGTTTCACAGGGGTTCAGTGCAGAGTGTCTTCTAGGGAGAGTGGCTTTGCAGATGTGGTGGGAGAAGGGCTGCCAAGGGCGAGTAGTCAGGCATAGCCTAGTTAGTACAAGGAGAGAAACCATGGATTTTACCAGCTGCAGTTGATCTTCTTCCTGAGTTTAAACCTCTGATCTAAATCAGGAAGCCTAGGGACCTTAACCCAAGCTCTGCCATGTCAGAGATGAATGCCCCAAGCAGCAATCTTCTGAGAGTTTTAGGTTTTCATTCTTTCAGGAGTCTCTGAACCCGAAGGTCTCCAGTACACAGTCTGCCTCTAAACCTGCAGGTCTGAGCTTCAGTGTTTCATGGGGCAGGCAGTGGGAAGGCAGGCAAAGGGTGTAAAACTCAGACACTTCAAAAAAAACTTTGTGAGTCACAAAATAGAGTTCCTGCCCAAATCTGCTGTATTTCTGAGTGTGACGTCAACCCTTCTTTTTGTCTCTACTTTCAGGTTGCTCCTGTAATTAAAGAAAGGATGATGAAGAAGGGCAGCATGATGCTTGGGTACCAGCCTCACCAGGGCAAAGTCAACTTCTTCCGCCAGGTGGTGATCAGCCCGCATGTTAGTCGTGAGGACATGGACTTCCTGCTGGATGAAATTGAACTGCTTGCTAAGGACTTGTAGCTGTAGCTCCCATAGCACCAGGTGCTGCTTGAGTGTGACATTTAGGGAGAGAGAACAGCAGCAGCATTCTGGTGCTATTTTGTAAATGGTAGTAAAAAGCTTGACATATAGTTTGGAAACTGTCATTTTGTGGAGTGATGTTGAGAGCTTTGCAGGTAAAACACCCCTCGACAGGAAAGGCTGAGAATGGCCGGCGGCAGGCCAGCGCTCGCAGCACTGCTGCCATTCTGGGAAGTGTTTCCTTGAGAAGGGAGCACTTCTGAAAATGGTGTGTACATCCCAGGGAGGTATTTTACGGGTTGCCTGTGCCCAGTGTAGCTCAAACTGGTCATTTACATGTGCAGGCAATACTCCTCTGAAGTTACTGTAATGAGTGGATTTAGCTCAGTGAGCCTTAAATGCTAATTAATACTCTTGTCTGCTCTGTCAATATTTTAGTTTGGTGTGTGTTTAAGGGTAGAGGCTTGATTGGTAATTACACTGATAAGACTGGAAATTGTGGACTTATATGAAGAGTTCCTCATGGCCCCTAACTAAGTGGACTGCCTGGATTTTGGGCTGTGAGCTCAGACAGGTGGTAGAATGGGGCTTGGAGGGGCTGTGCAGTCACCATCCTGTGAGATTTGAAGGTCCCACCTGCACGAAGGCACGAGCAACTAATATTGGCCCTGCTTTGAGCAGGTTGAACTAGATGACCTGTTAAGGCCCCTTCAAACCTACAGGATTTTGTGATAAAGACAGTTGTTGGGCCCAGTCAGTGTTTGCCAGTGTTGCCCACCCAAAATATCACCACCACTTTCACAGAGCTGAGAATATCGGAATAGCACTTAGAACTTCTTACCTCTTTGTTAACAGGAATTACCTACCGTTTCTGAAGGGCTTTTCCCTTTCTTCTGTTTTTAAAGTGTAAAGATTTATTTAACAGCTTTTAGATGCACTTTAAAATTATAACAGAAAAATAATATATTTACATGAAATATAAGTATTGTTATGCATGGTGACTATATATTAATAATACAGCAGAATTACTTATCTGTCATTGTCTATGTTTTCCTACAGATTTGAGATGGCTCAGTCGTATGTTCTCAGTGTTTAATTTATATTTTGACACTGAAATTAAGTGGTGGTGAGTAGAGAAGTCTGTTTGAGATGTTAGAATATGAACATCTTGAACATTTTTGTTCAATCTTAAGTTGGAAAATTAATTTCTAAGTTTTATGTTAAGAATTACAGTGTACTTTTGATCTGTTTTTATTCTATAAAGTGATGCATTTTGTAAAGATAGGAATATATTTCTTGGGGTGAAGTTCTTGCAGCAAACTATTGGAAATAACCATGTTGTTCACCTTGTTATCAACACCTACTTAACTTCAATGTTCAGGTGTTTGTTTCTTATTCTGTATTTGAGGTAGCACTGACCGACCAATATGAAGCTTTCCGCTACTATGTTTTCTGTCCTGCT